CGTCCATGACCAGGTACTTGAGCTGGCGAAGTGAGAAGCCCTTTGTGTTTTCCAGGTGGTCCAGCAGTCGGCCCGGCGTGGCGACGACAACGTGCGGTTTCTTGCCCAGCGCAATGGCCTGCGGGATCATGTCCATGCCCCCGACCAACACGGCGCAGCGGACCGCGATGAGCGAGCCCAGCGCCTCGACAGCCTGGGATATCTGATATGCCAGTTCTCTGGTCGGTGCCAGGATCAGCGAGTGCAATTGCTGCGGCTTGTCCATGAGCGCCTGCAGGATGGGCAGGACGAACGCCGCCGTCTTGCCGCTCCCAGTCTCTGCCAGCCCGATGAGGTCCCGACCCTGCAGGGCCAGCGGGATCGCTTCGGCCTGGATGGGCGTCGGCGCCTTGTATCCGAGTCGGTCACACGCTTCGCAGAGCGAGTCGATGATCCCTAGCTCTTTGAACGTCTTGGGCTGCGTCGTCTTGTTTGTCTGCGTGTCTTCCTCCTCTGCGTCGCTGGTCGGTGTGGTCTCGGATTCGGTGGACGACTTTACAGAGTGATGACCTTCATCATCATCACCCGAGGACGACTCATCGTGACTCAATTTTCGTTTCTTGAGCGGCGGCATTATGTTCTGGTGTGGTGTTGGGGAGGTAAATAACCAGGGTAGCGGTCAACAAGGTGAGGATGGAAAAGTTTTGGGTGCGCAGAGGAGTGGGCGAAATAATTATTTTTTGGGGGTGTTGGATGTTATCTTATCGCCCCGTGATCTGCAGCCTTGCACACCTGGAGAGGCAAGGCTCTCGCACTTATTCCGGGTAAACTTTGGGGGAATAGTCAACAGTGGGAAAGGCTCTCACTCTCAACCCCCATGGGCAAAGCTTCGTGTTACAGTCATGATTCGATATTTTGCGGGACCATCTACGGCGGTAACCCGATATGGGTGAGTATTGTATGGGAAAGCGAGGATATCTATCACCGAGGCAAAAAGACGTGGATAGGTGGGCGTTAAATCCACGATGAGACGAGATGACACAAAATAGTGAAGAAAGAAACCTGTTTCTGTTTGTATTTGTATTGTACTGTGTTATTATAGTCTGGGCACTTTGATTCAATTCGATCCAATCCTGTTGTCTTCCAGAGGTTCAAAGGGCCGAGGAAAGGGGGCGAGGGCAAATGAACATCTATTATTTCCAACACAGCAAACCCGCGCTGCAAGGGCTAACCACGAAGATGAGAGGAATTAGAGAGGGACTGGTTCCCATTCCCTTCCCTTCCCATGTTCCACAGAGACCGACTTTCCAGACTAGGCTTGAGGGGGATAAAATTTCATATACACACCACATCAACACGCACACACACACAGAGGACACATCGCACACATACATATACCGTGCGCAGATATATGTTGTTGGCGAGATGCACGGTTTGCTGGACGACCACTACGACTCACTCTTGGTGGGAGAGGCATTCTCCACCTGCACAGAGTGCCGCTTCTCGTCCATCTCGTGGTGTTGAGTGACGGTGGCGTCGAGACCCATTTCGGCCGCCAGGGTGAGACCTTTGTTCGAGGCCGCAGCGCCGGCGACCAACGCCTGGTCGCCGTCGAAGTGCTTGGCAATTTCTTCCACTGCGCAGGAAAAAAATTAGTATTCAGTGATGGCTCTGGGTAGGAAAGGGGAACGAAACTTACGAGGTGTGTTACGGGTCTCGACGTAGAAAAAGTAGACAACGGCCAACTCGAAGCCGAGCCACACGCAGTAGAAGATGTAGTACTTCCAGCCAATGTGGTCCAGGGCGATGGGGTTGATGTACTGGTTGAAGAAGAGGGCGGCGTCGACCATGAGGAACATGACCGTCAGGCCCTTTGCTCGGATGTTGTAGGGCAGGATCTCGGCCGTGTAGCCGACCAACATGCCCGACCAGGCAATGTTGTACCAGAAGTAGTAGATGTAGATCATTCTGTAAGTCAAGTCAGCAATTCCGTTCTTCCTGGGGAAATACAGCTAGCGAGGCGAACTTACCCGACAACAGCGTTGGCGGCGCCCTTGGAGCCCGTGATGGCATATCGAGCCGAGCAGATGGTCCAGACGATGAAGGTGACCAACATGCCAGCGGTGGAGATGAGGAAGAGCTTGCGACGACCGACCTTGTCGACGAAGAAGCAGGCAGCGACGGCGATGAAGAGGTTGAAGATTTGCAAAACGCCATTGATCAAGTTCTGGGTCAGGGTATCAGTGTAGCCGATGTTGTTGAGGATCTAGAAACACAATTGTTAGCACCGATGGATCACTGACGGGCACGGCTCGCGGTCAGCTTACCTTGGTGATATAGTATGAGACAAGGCCGTTGCCAGACCACTGGGAGAAGAGACCGGCAGACAACAGGATGATGAGCCTGCGCCGGTTGCCCCGGGTCTTGATTAGTTCGAGCCACTGGTTCCCTTCAACCTCCTTCTCGAGTCGGATGGTGTCGCGGATTTCGACAAACTCCAGCTGCACCATCTCATCGTTGTGGTTGCCGTTGGCGTGGACATCGTAGAGAATATTCAGGCCCTTTTCCTCTTTCCCGTGCGCGATGAGCCATCTCGGAGACTCGGGCACGAACCAAATGAAGGTGACCTGGATCAAGGACGGGGCGGCCTGGACAATGGTGGGGATCCGCCACGACCAGTTGTTGTTGATATGATCGGTTCCGTATGTCAGCCACGCAGCAACAATGCTCCCGGCGTACCAGGTGGTGTTGTAGATGGTGGTGAAGATGGCTCGATGCTGAGGGTGCACGAGTTCGGTGATCAACAGAGGAGAAGAACCGTGGGCGATGGCGATTCCAAAACCGAGGAGGAATCGAGCGCCCAAGAACATGCCAAAGCCCGCTGAGATGGATTGTAGAACCACACCGACCAACATTATGATACAGCCCACGAGGATACCCATTCGACGGCCGAGGAAATCGGCGACGTATGGCACAAAGGGAATGGCGGACAAGGAACCGATCGACATGATGGCATTCAAGATACCAATCTTGCCGCCTTTCGGGTGGTCGAAATGCTGCTGCCACGGCTTGAGAGTCTGGAGACCGTTCATCATGGAGCCATCATAACTGTGACATACAGGTCAACGACGAAGACTCGCTTTTTGGTAGTCAGACAAAGAGACACTCACCCGTTAGTGGCACTGGTAAGAACCACAAACATGAGACAGATATAGGTCTTTCTCAACGCCGGATCCTTATACCATGTCACAGCAGGAAACTGGCGTCCTGCCAGCTCAAAGTATCCTTTCCCCATGGTGGCAAGACGATCCTGATTGCTGATGGGGGGCTTCTGCGGAGGTAACAAGTCTGTAGAGACAGTATCTACGAGATAGTCGTGATGAAGGAGAAGGGGAACGAAGGATAAAAACAGGGAGGAAAGGCAAATGTTTTATACAACAGGGTGGCATTCGTTACGGTGCAGGTTTATCTCACCCCAAGGGATCCCAAGGGCCGTGATTGAAATGCTACCGCGTCCATTTCGAGTGGTAGCGTTCTAGAAAGTCTGGCATCACAGCTGACCAGGGCTGCAGGAACCAATGGCTGACTGGACAGGCCGGATGAGAGCACAAATGTTGCCATAACGGTGGATCCAAGTTTGGTCTGGATTGGACGATCAAGTCCGAGGCGAAAGGCTGGATAAAGAGGCCGCCCACTAGCCTAACTCATCATGGTCTGAGAGCTCAAATCTATATCGACCAGGGAGATCCGAGGCTGGAGATTGAGGCCGAAAAAGAGCCAGGGAGTTTTACCGGCCGGTGGCAGAGACAGGGAGTAGCAGCAACTTCGGCGACATCAGCCTCTCGGGATGGACCGAGCTCTGAGGAAGAAAAAAAAAAGGTGATCAGAATCGGACGGAGGAAGAGGACCACATGGGGTGTTGTGACCCATTCTAGAGCCCAACTGGGACTGGGACTCTTTTCTGATTGATCTAGCGGCAAAATTCTGGGCAAATTCTGAGCACATGGCATGCAGATGTGGTGGACGTGAGTGTGGAGGGGAGGAGAGTCGAGGAGAGAGGATTGTGGGATTTCCAGGAAACAGACCCCATGGTGTGGGCCAGGGCAGACAGGACAGACTAGGACATGTCAGGGAACGAGAATGGGTTCGGATGGAGAACGGATGGGTTCAGCTAGTATACCTGAAAAAGGGGGGCGGGTGGAGGATCTTCGGGCAAAGGACAAAACAGCCAGTTGATGGGTATTTTATCCTATTATCCGGGGGGGAGAGGGAGTGGAGGGAGGGCTGGAGGAATAATGGATGCAAGATCGCCACGCAGCTTTTTAGAAAGGAGCTTCCTCTTCTGGACACTGGATCAGACCATCTTTGCGATCAATCATGTTATAGAAAGGGAATGGGAGAGGCAAAAGATCGACACCGTCACTCATGCACGGGTCTGGTCTCAGTATTCATCCATCCGGGAAAATAGCAACAAATGGAGCCATGTCCACGAGGCTGTCTTGGTAAAGGAGATGGAACACCGAGGTTTCTCTAACGGATGCTGCCAGATTCGCTAACCCGCCCTGCATGCCTCGTAGTTCCTTACCCTATGAATTTTCCCAGCACCATTCACCCAGTCCATCGTCGCCAAATATGGAAGGTCTTTTACGTTGTCTCGTTCTATTTTGTCGACTACGGGGTGTATGGGGTACCGAGTACATAGATACATGCTATGATGTTGCGGGGTTCCGGTTGATATCGCAGAGATTGAACAATGTCGGCATTCATCCTGGATCTCCATCCTGTGGACGTGTGTAATGTTGCCGTCTGGTCGGTGTGACTGACTGATCGAGTGTATGCCAATTTCGAATCCTGGTGAGGATGCTGCAGCGGTTATTTGCCGGTATGGTATATAAAGATGCGGGAGAATGGACAGATGCCGTGGTGAATATGCTGGAGGTTTGAGCAATTGAAAGGAGATTCAAGCTGTTGTGTAGCCGTCTTTTCATCCTTTTTGTCCTTCGTTTGCTTGTGACTTCGGTATGGCTTTGTCCAGACTTGCCTCTATTGTTTCGGTCCTTGCGGCTCTTGGACGCGCGACCCCGACAGGACCAGGATGGTCACCACATGGGCACTATCCCCCCCCTCCTCCCCCTGCTTTTCCTCTAGCGACGACAACCTCGTCAGCTTCACCCGCGCCGGCATCGTCTGCCCCAGCGTCCTGCTCTGGGTATTTTGAGCCTCTGGCTCCGCCTTTCCTCAATGATCTGGCACAGGCTGCTGGCAAGCTGTGGTTTGGCAGTGCGACCGATCAACCTGTGGGTATCAGTGTTAGCAGAAAGAGAGGGCTCCAAACATTGACGGGGACACACAGGGAACCGGTGAGGACACCAACATCCTCTACCAAGAGATCCTGAACGACACGCACATCTTCGGCCAGATCACCCCGGCGAACATGATGAAGTTCGAGCTGAGCGAACCAGAACCCGGCGTCTTCAACTTCACGGGCGGAGACATTGACGTGGCCATTGCGCAAGACCATGGGAAATACCTGAGATGTCACAACCTGGTCTGGGTCAGCCAAGTCAGTGAATGGGTCTTGAACGGGAGCTGGACGGCAGATACACTCACAGATGTCATGCACAACCATATCCAGACCATGATCACCCACTTTGGAGACGCCTGTTACTCGTGGGACGTGGTCAACGAGGCTATCACTGCCAACGGCTCATTTTCTTCCAGTATTTGGGTCAGTATTTGGGTGGCTTCATTGTCAGACTCTGACCAAGAAACTGATTTTGGGGGGGCTGGTTAGTACGACGTGATCGGCCCAGAGTACTTTTTCCTGGCATATCAATTCGCTCGTGAGTTGGGATCTGACAAAAAAAAAGGCTCGCCGAGACTGACAATGGGCACAGAGGAGGCCGTCGACTCCCTACCGGCTGGCACGCGAAAGCCAAAGCTGTACTACAACGACTTCGGGATCGAGTCTGGGAACAAGTCGGTGGCGGTGCTCGGTCTGATCCAAGAGCTGCAGAGTCGGAACATCCGCATCGACGGCGTCGGGCTGGAGAGCCATTTCGTGGTCGGCGACACGCCCTCGCTGGAGGAGCAGGTGGCCACGAAACAAGCCTACATCGCCGCCGGGGTCGAGGTGGCTATGACCGAACTCGACGTCCGGTTTTCCCAGGCCAATCTGACCAACGCCACAGCCTTTGCCCTGCAGGCGGAAGAGTACTACAACTCGACGGCCAGCTGTGTCCTGGTGGAGGGGTGTGTCGGGATCACGGTCTGGGACTTTGACGATCAATACAGGTACGATGGAAGAGAGCTTTTCTGCATCTCTCCTCTTCTGTCTGTACATAACGCATTTGTGAGACTGACTTGGTGACTGCAGCTGGATTCCCTCGAGCTTTCCCGGACAGGGCCTGGCGGACCTTTACGATGCTGACTTTAGGGTAAGTACTAAGCAACTTCTCCCAGCCCCTTTAACCTGAAGAGGGATTGATGCACTCCACCCTTCATTTTTTTTTCCTTCTTCAAGAAGCAAGGAGTCCATACGCTAACGAGTCATTGTCGGGTACAAAAGCGTAAACCGGCATACTATGCTGTCGGCGAGGCACTGCAGGGCGTTCCGTGCTCGGTATGTTCGGCATGATTTGTTTTGGCATACGATGGGCTTGTCTCTAGAGTGCTCGTACAGGAATAAACTGGAGTGGGACAATCGGTTGGAGGGGGAGAATGAGACGACGCCATCCAGGTCCGATGCATAGGTAGAGTAGGTACACCACTAATAATACAACTAATTTCCAACTGGAATGGTTTGGCTCCCTTGGACCTTTCAGACAGACAAGCTTGGGAAAGCTTTCTGGGTGGGACGCCGTCCCCCGGCACGTCTGATCCGATTGTCTGTCTTTTTGTCATGCATGAATGACTTTGCCAGAACCGAAGATGAACCGTGACAATCCCCCCTGGCCCCCGTATCCCCTTTCCATCCCACATCCCACTAGCACATCTACATGTACACCCCAGACCACACCCGTGGGTTTCTTTGGTTTCGGCTGCGCGAGGTTCTGCATTGCAAGCATGCCACCACCACCACTACGAGGAGCATGTAGCATTACTGGATGAACTTCGGAACTCCAGACCGTGGAGTGACGCTCTCCTCCTCCTCCTCTCCCCCAGACCATCTCCACTACAAGCACAAGCTCAAGTACAAGCAAAAAAACGGCTCTGGCTATTATCGGGCACCAAACAGGTTCAACCGCCCACCCGGCTTAGTGTTGACTTTACTTGTACTTGCACTTACGTAGCCTAATCAGTTCATACTCCCCCTAGTAGTAGTGACCCCTCGCCTCGAAGATCAACCGAGACCCCACAAGGCATGCTTGTACCGAGTACTTGTAACATCCCGAGAGCTATGACGAGGCTGTACTGGTATATACTGTACGGTGGCATGTAGCGTGGTGTGGCGTGCAATGCTTTACCGGTACTATCGTGATCTTCCGGGAGCAAGCGTATGCTTGTTTTGAGTCGGAAAAGGTTATTCCGTCATCATATAGGTTCGTGTACAAAGACAGGGACAAGGACAATGACAACCAAGGTAGTAATGTGCCAGGGGGAGGACCAATATCACTCCGTGCGTGAGACTCTCTGCACTTCTGCATCGCGACGAGCCGATACCATGTCTCGTTGAGGGGAAAGATCGATGAGATGGATCAACATGGCGTAAAAGGTACGAGTTGTAAGCTGTCAGTCAGCCTCGACCAAAGTCCTAGGTTTGTACTACCCCTTCTCCGGTCTTGAGGGGAAACGCAGGACTTCCCTTTCGTCAATCTGGTCTAGGCATAGCTTTTTGCATCGAAGATGAGTTTGCAACACGTTGCCTATAACGGACGTGTAGGAAGGCCCTCTGGGCATTGCGATTTGGCCAAGTTCAACATAAGCGAGCAATATCTATAAAGCGTTCAGGCTTGTGATGGGAATCAGGCCAATTCGGTCTGCTCGAATACGACGTTGGAAGAGAAAGCGCACAATGGAAGCGGATACTGGCCTTCAGGAGGGACACGGGTCGAACTTTTGTCGAACACCATCCATAGAGACATTGAATTACCCACAAAAGCCTCGTAGCCTGCCCGCTGTAATTGATTTGATTGATGTCGTGATTGAGAAGGGGATTGTCGGACAAAAAGGTGTCCGAGACACATGACAATCTCCAGTTGGTTTGGCACCTCTTCTAATGTCTTATCCCCGATAGAAACGCCACCCTCGACGGCGAAATCCAGCATATCGTAGTGGTCGAAGCCATGAGAGACATCTCCATCACTACTGTCTGTGGCAGGAATATCGACGGCATCTGGCAGGATCAGCAAGCGCCTGGCTACCTGTATGGTTCGAGATACACACCTGGACGCGGCTGACGCTGTTGTAAGGGTTGAGACCGAAGACTTTTCAACATGAACTTTCATCCAGTTATGTATACGCAGGTGAACTCGCCTAGTCTCAAGGAGTTGGACACAAATATCACATATGCCATATATAGATCTTCGCTGATCAGCTCCAGGCAACGGTAACGAGACTGCGCGCCTGGTGCCATTCACAGCCTCCGACATAAGCTGCTGGATCAAGCCTGACTTGCCGAATGTGCCTTGTAGCTTTGCAGAGCATGTACGACAGATCATTGAGATTAATTGTTCTGAATGTCGAGGTCACACCCGCGCTTCCTCTCCCTTTCAGCCGCAGACGTCTTTTCACCCCGGAGTCTCTTCGCCTCGCACAGATCATTTGGCCATCTTGCCAAAGGCGAGGTCAAAGGCGGAGATGCTGAATCCTCTGAATAATACCAGCGAGGCAAATGTCCGCCGATTATAGAAGCGATCTGCGGCTCTTGTGCTCTTTTTGGCAAATGGCTGCCAATGAGATGCCACCGCAATTCAGCCTAAATCTCGGCGTGATCGATTGCTGCATGTCGACCTCGCATATTGTCGCCGTCATCGACTACTCTTCGACAAGAGATTCAAAAGCCCCTGCTCGGCAATATGCCAGATTGCCTTCTCGTCAAATGGCTGTGTCAAGTCAAGGGTCAAGCGCACAATGACCTTGTCTGCATTCACCCGGCATCGACGCATCACCTCCGCAATTTGACCCAGACCTCGGGGGAGGGTGCAATATCTGCCTTCCTGACCTGGAATGGCACTGTGAGGAGCTTGGGCTTCACGACCGGAGTCCGCCCCGAAATAGCATGAATTGTTGGAATTGTGCCTACGGCCAGGCGGAAGCTGGTGTCCAGACGATGGTGGAATGTGTTCTCGTCGAACTCAGTATGATAATGGTAAGAAGATCACACTGCCCAGACGTGTTGGGTGTCCTTTCTACCTTGGATCTTCTCTAGCTGCTCTATGTTTCGAACCGACAGCCTGTGATGACCATGGCCTCATTCTTTCGGGTCCTGGTGCCATTGGGATTGCTTGTTGGGCATAGCTTTGGTCATCCTCGGGATACTGTTCGCCGGGCCAACGTTGCCGTGTCCAACACCGGCAGCTCACTGACCTATGTCTTTCAAAACAACCTCAATGCCTCAGACGATGTGAACCATGTCGGCGCTATCTTGCTTGACCCGATGTCAGCATCCGCTGGGTCGGCTGCTTGTGAAGAGTTGAGCGAGACACTGTTGACCCAGACGACCATCCAGAACTACAGCAGTGATTTCTCCTCCGCCTTATCATACCTGGCATACTCTGGAAGGGTGTCTCCAAATCAGGCGTATCACATCGCTGGTGGCAGCTTGCAGGTCTCGGATCAAGCACAGCTCTCTTTCCCCACAGCGCCACAGGGCGACTCAGCTTTGCCTGTCCTTTGCACCCAATCAAGCAATGCAAGTCAGCCTCCAAACTCGACGGCAAGCTCTTCCAACCAGGTCGTCGTCACGGCAGCAGGGAATACTTATATCGGCTACCGAAACCAGAAATCGTTTCGTTTCCTGGGCATCAGATATGCAGATCCTCCACAGCGATGGGTATACTCTCATTCATACAGTGGAACTGGCGATACGGTGAATGCAACCGCATATGGACCCCAGTGTTCACAGGCATCCGTGAATGGTACAAGTGAAGACTGCTTGTTTCTCAACATCCAGACGCCATACATTCCCAAAGCCGGATCATCCAAGAGCCTGCGACCCGTCTTGTGTGAGTTTCGCACGGCTTCTTGACATTTGGTGTCGTAGTGAAGCTGACTTTAACCAGTTTGGATCCACGGCGGAGGCTTCACCGGTGGCACAGGCGCTGATCCGCTGAGCGACGGGGGTAATCTGGCTTCTCGCGAGGACATTGTTGTCGTGACCATCAACTATCGGCTGTCCACGCTGGGCCTTTTGGCCATTCCCGGCACCAACATCACCGGAAACTTTGGTATTGGCGACCAGATCGTCGCCTTGAACTGGACCGTACAGAACATTGCCGAGTTCGGCGGCGATCCCACCAAAATCACCATCATGGGCGAATCCGCCGGAGCTGGCTCTGTCCGAACCCTCCTCGGTAGTCCCCCAGCCATCGGACTGTTCCAGGGCGCAATAAGCATGTCTAACCTAGGTGGCGGTGTGACTCTTGGTCTTGACAGCAACTACGGCACGACCTACTCGTCATACTACACCGTTAACGAATCATACACAGTCGCTGGGCCTCAGATCTTCAACGCGTCAAACTGTACCCAACAATCACTGAGTGGCAAGATCGCGTGCCTGAAAAAGGTCAATGCCACGGATCTGGTGAGCCTGGAGACGGTTGCTCGATATGTCGTGCAAGACGGCACCATTGTCAACTCGTCGCAACTCAACGTGGTCCAGAAGAATGCGGGCAGCGCCTACGTGCCGATCATGTTTGGCGTCGCAGCGAATGATGGCGCCTCCTTTTCCACCATCTCCCCGACTCCCGTGCACAACGAGACCGAAGGGCTGATGACCGGTCTGGGCATCAATGCGTCGTACGCGCAGGCCATCATCCGGTCCGGCCTGTTCCCCTACTACGACACGGGCAACATGACGTTCGACTCCTTCAACGTGACGCAACGGGTCGCCACGGACAGCACCTTCCGCTGCATCGACCAGGCCACGGTCTACGCCGGCGCCGAGACCGGCACGTTCCCAGCAGCATATTACTACCAGTTCGAACGGACCATCAACGGCTACAACCCGGAAAACGTCCCTGGCGCACCCATCACGCCAGGCTACCCGCACGGGAACCCCAACCTGCCTTACTTCAAGCTGCACGGCGCGGACATGGACTGGGCGTTTGGCAACTTCTACGTGCCCCTCCGGGACGCAAACGATCTGTACTCGGTGCAGCTTGTGAGTGGGTACTTTGCGGAATTTGTGAGGAGCGGCCAGCCGAATCCGCCGGTCCCGTACCTCCAGGCCAGGGGGTACACAAGGACCTTGCAGGGCGTCCAGGAGTCCGGGCCATGGGAGAAGGTGTCGAATGCCACCGGGCCGATTAAACATTTGGACTACCCCGCGGTGAGCGGGGGCTTTGTCGATTTGCCCCAGTGTGCGTGGCTCAACTATAGCGTCAATTACTATCTCGACCAGTAGTAGACAAGAAAATGGGATAATATAGCCTCTGTAAGAAGACGGAATGGGTGGTTTTACGCACGATCCAAGACGATCGTCGATAGCTGTAATTAGCGTGCACTCGACACCTGGAACCAATCCGCCATGGACTGCCTGGTGTTTGGGAATATAAGGGCAACATCGCAAGTCCCAGCAGGCACGTGTTCATGCTTGCTCTCAGCCTTGTCGATAGCAAGAGAAACGAGGAATTTTATACACCAGGTACCTACCTCGCTACCTCACTACTCAATGCTTAGATTATTATTACCCACCACGGCAATCCCGCCTTGTCCATCGTATGATTGGATCTAATAGGTCTATGTACTCGGTACAATGTCCTTGCCAAGAGCAATATACGGCTAAATGCGTGGGAGCTGATCGTTTCTCACTTTTTTTTTTCAACCAGTAGAACTGCTGTGTGACGCGCTCACACGCGTATATCAGGCGGATGTTGACAGGAAAGGTATTTAGCCGGACTTGACTGATCGCTGGCTGGCTGGGTCCTGGCTCAGCAGGTTGCAGGTGCCAGGTTCCCGGCCGCCCGTTGGCAATAGTATCTGTGTCTGTGTCTGTGGATGAACTGTTACTGGTACATTCGATACACTTACTGGTGGCATCGTGAGATGAAGATAGTGGTGGTAGGCTATAGTACTGATGGCGTCACTGTACGGGAACCAGAGTCTCTCTCACACTAATGGCTCCAGAAAGGAAGAAAGTCTGCCTTTGTACTGGGGAGGGGGTGGGGGAGGGGGCCTGGCATAAAAGGGTCTGGCAAAGAGGCCTCTACTACCGTTCAGTCGGTAATATGGACCATATATCCATCCGATCATCAATGCGTGGGTGGGGTGAGATGGGATGGGAAGCAAAAGGGAAAGTAATTGGGGGGAGTCTGTCGAGCGAGCATATTTCATATTGCATATTGCATATTACCGGAAACACATTAACACATCATCCCCCCCCCTCCACTGTCTCTTGCCCCTCCTTTCCCTCTCTTTCTCCCTCTCTTATATTACCCGGAAGGTAGTGAACAAGGTGAGTTCAGGCGGGGAGCCTCTCTCAGAGCAAGAGTAAGAGTCAAAGTTCGTATCTACCCACCCACATACCTCTCTTTTCCACGAAGCACGAGGTACAAAGATGGCGTCGGGATACCTGAGGGTCGAGGGTGACAAGGTGGTCGACGGCAATGGACGGCAAGTAGTCCTTCGAGGAACAGCCATCGGAGGATGGATGAAGTATGTCAAGAAGCCCTTCCATAATCCCACGCCATTGTGCCTACCTACCTACCCGCCCACCACGAAAGAAAACCTAACAGAAGGGAAGAGGAACAAACGAGTTATGCACGAGCTAACAACGCTTAATGGCCTCGCGCCTGACGCAGCATGGAGAACTTCATCACCGGATACCCGGGCCACGAGTCCCAGCACCGCGCTTCGATGACAAAAGTCCTTGGGAGTGAAAAGGCCAACTTCTTCTTCGACAAGTGGCTGGAATACCACTTCACCGAGGCCGACGCGCGCTTCTTCGCCAGCCTCAACCTGAACTGTCTCCGGCTGCCGTTCAACTACCGACATCTCGAGGACGACATGAATCCGCGGGTGCTGAAGGAGTCGGGGTTCAAGCATCTCGACAGGGTGATTGATCTGGTGAGTCAAGTCTCGAGTCTACGCGGCGTTGGGGGATTCTATAGATCAATTTTTTCCAGTTTTTACGGGCTGTTTTGAGGAGAAAAAGAAGAGTGTCGCCGGGCTAAGATCATTGTTTATCACACTTATCTATGACAGTGTGCAAAACACCAGATCTACACGATCCTCGACATGCACACCGCACCCGGCGGCCAGAACCCGGACTGGCACTCGGACAACCCGACCAACTACGCCGCCTTCTGGGAGTACAAGGACCACCAGGACCGGACGGTCTGGCTGTGGCAGGAGATTGCGAAGCGGTACAGGGACAACACCTGGGTGGCCGGGTACAATCCGCTCAACGAGCCCTGCGACCCCGAACACGTCCGCCTCCCGGAATTCTACGCGCGCATCGAAGCGGCCATCCGCGCCGTCGACAGTCACCACATCTTGTGGTTGGACGGCAACACCTTTTCCATGGAGTGGAAGGGCTTCGAAGAGGTCTTGCCGAATTGTGTATACGCTTTACATGACTATTCGGTAACGTCTTCTAGCAAAACCGAGGAGGCTTGCGCCGCGTACTAATGGAGACAACAGATGATGGGCTTCCCTACCGGCGAGCGCTACAAGGGCACCGAAGACCAGAAGGGCAAGCTCGAGAGACAGTTCCTCCGGAAAGCCGAGTTCATGCTGGAACACAAATGTCCTATCTGGAATGGGGAGTTCGGCCCTGTATACGCTGACCCGGCCGAAGACAAAGACGCAGAAGCCATCAATCAGGACCGGTACAATATGCTTGGCCAACAGCTAAAGGTCTACGACAAGTATAAGATCAGTTGGAGCATCTGGCTATACAAGGACATTGGCGTTCAAGGCATGGTCCACACGAACCGGGACTCGAAATGGAACCGTAACATACAGCCCTTCCTGGACAAGAAAAAGAGATATAGGTTGGATGCATGGGGGGTCCATCACTCGCCCGAGGCGGAAGCAGCTTTGGATCCCCTTGTGGAGTGGATTGACAAGATCTGTCCGACGGCAAAGGACGCCTATCCAGGTCCGTGGCAGACGGAGAGGCACGTCATGCGCGCCGTCATTCAGACCTGGTTGAGTGCTCAATTCTCGGACGAGTTTGCCAAACAGTTCGCGGGGATGGATTTCAAAGAGCTGGACGAACTGGCGCATAGTTTCCACTTTGACGAATGTGTCCAGCGAGAAGGTCTGAACAAGATTTTGAGCGAGCACGCTGCTCAGTGAAGAGCAGCTGCTATGACTGTGGCAGATGGATTGTTGATCCACCACCGGGGCAGGCATCTGGCCACCGCTCTTCCTTCCTCGACTCATCCACTGCGCCCAATCGGAAATCTGATGCCCTATTCTCGAGGACACTCGACTACGGTGGTACGGTACCTAGGTACATACCTCGTGCTGATTCATCAACGGCAGGTTTTGGCGCTACCAGTGAATGTGAGCTGGCACGGCAAAAGTACACTAAAGACAGCGCAGATGTGAGGTGTGAGGAGAAAGGGACAGTGTTTGCGACTGAAACAGAAAAGCTGGGGGGGAAACTTGGACAACGGCGGCCGATTACGCATGCGGGCATTGCGGAGGGCAGGGTTGGGAGTGATCCTGCAGAAGATTAGTATGGCGCTGTTCGGGCGCTGTTCGTGAAAGTGCGGGTTACTCAATATCAATACTTTCTGGCATGGGAGAGAGTCAGGCTCCACCTGTGGATGACCTCCATACTCGGTAAGCTTGCAAGGAAGAGCATCCATTCGACAAGTCGCAAGCGACCAACACCACAGCGGTCGTTGGCACACCGACCTGTGAGGTAGAGAAGCAGTAATCGACGTCAGTTGCAAAACCTGGAGAAGAACGAGGTTTTGTCAAGATGCTCATTGTTTTTGATTTTGAATAAAGGCAGGATATGATCGCGCTTGGATAAGACCATCAATCCCGTATAGACGTAGATCACTCGCGAATGACTCGCAGCGAACCTTCACACAATGTTGCTGATCGGGCGGCAGTGGCAAAGAATCCTGTTCCAAGGGAAGAGAAGTCGATCGCACAAAGTCCGAGAGGTCGGCACTTCGTGGCAGCTGAAAAGGGCTGAAGTCAAGAAATCTTGTGTAGTATTGAGATCACGAGAATGTTACATGGTCAAAGGCGAATGTGGTTGGACAGAAGGAAGAGAAATGATGATGCGGTGGATGCAGTGGCGGTGGGTGGCGGTTGGAGCGGCTGGGTTAGTGATGGCTACTAACCAGGTCGAAACCTCGCTGGGGTTCCCTTATTTGTACGCTCTAGGTAGTGTAGGTCTAGGTAAGGCGTGGTGAATGTGGTAGGGATGTTTGTACGGAGGGTGCTTGTGCTTTACCGCTGCCCGAACCTGCCTGGGATGGGGGTGCCCCGCATCGCAGCGACCTATCCCCCACGAGGAAGCTGCGAACAACAAGTCAACACAGCAGCTGGAGCACGCTTCCTCTCACAGGTACTGGGATCTTTGTCTGTCTCATCAACTTCCCAGTAAGAATATCCTCTGCTCAAGTCGAGGAGGCGTCCTCATATCATTCTGGTGTAGAGGGATAGTGCACTTGGGTCCTGAATCACACACAGCAAGTCGCTGTGGCCGTGCTTGCCAACGGCAGAACGTTGCTGATGGTCAGCCCCACCCTCTTATTGCGATCATCCCTGTACTGGCAGAACTGGTCACCAGCCTCCAGGGGAGGATGAATCCTGCCAATGAGATGCCCATGCTTGGGCCCTCACCTACCCCAGCTTGCCTAATAGACTTGATAGACTCAACGGGGCGGGCCCCCAACTTTCAAATGCCATTAGCCCACGGTCTTCTCCCAGCTCCCAGCACCGAAACCACCCAGAAAACCATTGCCTGGGCATGCCAGGCCCTTGCTTCGACTCCTCGCCTACAAGCCTCGACTTTTGCTAATCCCCCGCGGTCTTATGGTCATGGTCGAGGCTTGACTCGCCCATGTGCCGCCTCCTCTTCTGATCCTTCAATCATCTCATGTGAGCGAAAAATTATTCTCCACACGCACGCTGTCCTCTCTACCATTGCTGCCGCCCACCGCTCACGCCCGAGGATACGGGTGCTGTCTCCGATCGCCTGCCGTCGACAACTACCTCAACAGTCACGATCTTCTTCTGAGGGTCATCATCCACCCGACAACAACAGTACTTCCAACTTTTTGAACTATGACAGTGGCTGTGTGCTTCTGTCGCCGACGAATCCTGCAGACATGCTCTCCCGCATTCCCCCACAAACCCACAACTCATACTCGGAATTCCACGATTATGCTCAGCGGCCCGACTTGATCAACCCCCAACCTCAGCAGCTCCCCT